ATCTCTGGTGGAGATTTGTTACCAAACCAGGGGAGTTTGAGACAAAACCAGTGAAGGTTTGGGAACTGGGGAGCAGCCGTGACCCTGCTGGAGTCCGGGGGGGACCTCCAGCCCCCCGGGGGGTCCCTGCGCCTCCTCTGCCGAGGGTCCGGGTTCAGTTTTGGCAGTTTTGACATGCAATGGATCCGCCAGAGACCCGGGCAGGCGCTGGAGTGGGTCGGGAGCATCAACACTGGTGGCAGCACCTGGTACGCGCCATCGGTGCAGGGCCGGGTGACGATCTCCAGGGACAACGGGCAGAGCTCGGTGACGCTGACCATGAACAGCCTCAAGGACGAGGATTCCGGATCCTATTTCTGTGCCAAAGCTGCTGGTGGTTACTATGGTAATGCTGCTGCTGAGAGTTTTGAGCCCATCCCTGTCCCCGTGTCCCCGACCTTTCCCCCAACCCCAATCCCTGACCCCATTCCTGTCCCCTCTCCCAGCTCTGAACTGGTTTTTCCCCAAATCTCCGGCGTTTTCCCCCAAATTCTCAACTCCCGGCTCCACCTCCTCATCGTTGCTGCCAATTTTTGTTCCAAACCCTCAGGATTCAGTGCCCACAGCCGGGTTTGGTGCCAGGGGCGCAGACTTGGGGCTGCCCCAGAGGGATTTATCCCCGGCCGGCTCTGTGCACCAATCCCCCGCGGGACGGGACTGCCGGGAACGCCTCTCGAGCTCTTTGATTTGCCAGCACCGCTCTCGTTCCGCGGCTGCGCCAATGGGAAGGTGCCGGCAGCCGACGCGCCCGGCAGCAGACACAGAACCCAACCTTACAGCTCACGTTCCGAGTTTTTGGGCCAGTCACACTAAGGAAGGGCAGAGTGACGTCATGGACCGAGACCTGGCGCATCGTCACCAAATTTGGGGAACGGGGATGAGAATTGGAGGCAGCAGCGGAGATTTGGGGCGGAAACGATTCAGGATTGGGACACGGGGACGGGAATGGGGTCAGGGGCTTGGGCACAGGTGGGGTCCCAGTGGCGGCGATGGGCCCGAATCTACCCCAAGCACCAGAATGGCCAATATCACCAGCACTGGCACAATCACTGCAATGTCCCTTGGCACAGAAATAGGATCCAGAATCCTCGTCCTTGAGGTTGTTCATGGTCAGCGTCACCGAGCTCTGCCCGTTGTCCCTGGAGATCGTCACCCGGCCGTTGACTGACGGTGAATACTTGATGTAATCCCCATCGTTCCTGATCCACGCAATGAGCTCCAGCCCCTGCCCGGGTCTCTGGTGCACCCATTCCATGGCAAAACTGCCAAAACTGAACCCGGACCCTCGGCAGAGGAGGCGCAGGGACCCCCCGGGGGGCTGGAGGTCCCCCCCGGACTCCAGCAGGGTCACGGCCTCGTTGCACAGATCAACACTGCTGGCACCACCCACTACGCGCCATCGCTCAAGGGCCGGGTGACGATCTCCAGGGACAACGGGCAGAGCTCGGTGACGCTGACCATGAACAGCCTCAGGGACGAGGATTCCGGATCCTATTTCTGCGCCAAAGATTCTCATCCTGGTTGGAATGCCGCCCATGGTATTGGTTTAACCCCTGGTGGTCGGGTTGGTGTTTGGGGTTTCGGCCCTGTCCCTGTCCCCAGCTGTCCCCAGACCTTCCCCCCCCCTCACTGACCCAGCCCTGACCCTTTGTCCCCAACCTCCCCCCTTTGCACCAACCTTGTCCATTGGCCCCAAATCCTCCCCGGTTCTGGCCCCAAACTCAACTCTCGGCCCCAAATCCCAACCTTCTCCTCCAAAATTGCCCAAATGTTCAAGATTTGACCAAAACCGTGAGGTTTGGGTCAGCGGCTGTGACTGGGAGCCCAACGTGGAGGTTTGGGGCAGAATGGAGTGAGTTTTGGGCCTAAACAATCTCGGTTAGGGCAGAACCAGTCAGGGGTTTGGGGTTTTTGGTCGCTATTGCTAGAAATGAGGAAGATTTGAGACAAAGGGTCAAGGGCTGAGGTTTGGGGGAAGGGTTTGGGTTTGGGGACAGGTGGGGACTCAAAGACAGAGGCATGGCCAAAACCACCATAACCAACATCACCATAAGCAATATCATCAGCAGCAGCAGGAGCACAACAACCATCCCAATTTTTGGCACAGAAATAGGATCCGGAATCCTCGTCCTTGAGGCTGTTCATGGTCAGCGTCACCGAGCTCTGCCCGTTGTCCCTGGAGATCGTCACCCGGCCCTTCAACGACGGCGCGTAGTAGGTGCTGCCACCAGTGCTGCTGATGTACGCGACGAATTCCAGCGCCTGCCCAGGTCTCTGGCGGATCCATTGCATGGCATAGCTCCCGAAACTGAAGCCGGACCCTCGGCAGAGGAGGCGCAGGGACCCCCCGGGGGGCTGGAGGTCCCTCACGGACTCCAGCAGGGTCATGGCCGCTGCTCCATCCCCAAATCTTCACTGGTTTTGTACCAAAATCCCTTTGTCTGGCCCCAAATCTCCAACAGAAGTTTCCAGTATCATAAAATGGCTTAAACCCCACAATTAGCCCCGATCCACTCATTAACAAATTGGACGCCTCGGCCTGAGCTTTCCATCCCCCCATCCCCATCTCCCCTTGTTCCCGCAGGGCTCCGGGCGGCCGTGACCCTGCTGGAGTCCGGGGGGGACCTCCAGCCCCCCGGGGGGTCCCTGCTCCTCGTTTGCCGTGCCTCCGGGTTCAATTTTGGCAGTTTTGGAATGGTCTGGATCCGCCAGAGGCCCGGGCAGTTGCTGGAATGGGTGGCAGGGATCAACAGTGATGGTTCCAGCACCGGCTACGCGCCGTCGGTCAACGGCCGGTTCGTGATCTGCAGGGTGAAGGAGCAGAGCTCGGTGACGCTGACCATGAA